GGGGAATTTGGGGGGTCTTGAGGTCCTCCCAGGTCCCTCCCTGTCCTTCTTCCCTCCTGCCCCAAGCCCCGAGCTGAGGACAGAGAGCACGGAGGACAAATCCCCCCATCAGAACTCAGTAGGAGAGGCTGTTTTGAAGGGCTCTACAGCACAGGAAGGCAGTGGAGAGGAAAAGCCACGAAGGTACCCCAGGAGAAGGGGCTCCAAAGCCAGCCTAGGTTGCTCTGAAGAGGAAAGTCCGACCCTGTGCCAGGAAGGTGGCCGGAGCTTGAGTCAGAGCTCCGACCTGGAGGTCCCTGAGCAGCTTCACACCAGGGAGAAGCCCTTCAGGTGCTTGGAATGTAGGAAGAGCTTCATCAAGAGCTTTGCCCTCCTCACCCACCAGCACCTCCAACTGGGGAACGGCCCTACAAGCACTTGGAATGAGGGAAGAGGTTTCAGACCAGCTCAGATCTCCTCCTGCATGAGCAGACGCAAAACGGGGAGAGGCCCTTCCGCTGCACCGACTGCAGGAAGAGCTTCAAGCACAACTCCAGCCTCGTCACCCACTGGCACATCCACAGCGGGGAGAGGCCGTAGGAGTGTGGGGAGCTCTGGCTTGACTTCACATGAACAGACCCACCACTAAGGGGAGCTGTACAAGTGCCCCGACTGCAGGAAGAGCTTCGTCCGCTGCTCCAACTCCATCAACCATTGGAGGATCCACGTTGGATGATCCACAGTGACCCACATTGCATTAAAGACCTGGTGAGTCACATTCTTGGTGATCCACATTGGGAAGACACCTGAGTGGTGGTCTCCATCCTCCTGGTTCCCTGTAGGCATCTGGATGAATGCAGGGGAAGGAACATCCATCAGGACATTCCTCTCTTATACTTTACTGCTGGTAGTTTTAGTGTTTATATTGTTTAGTAAGTAATTCTGATTAAGATCTTTTGTTTGATAATGTGTAATAATAAATAATAATTTTATCTAAATATCTGATTTGCCATCATTAAAACCTGCAGGACAAAAGTGGTTCAATCACAGCTCTGTAATTCCTTAAATTCCAACCATTGCCATAATCCAAGGCTGAGACGGGATCCAGCTGCCCCCAGGCTCCTCTGGGAGCAGGAGTTTAGAAAGCTGGGGAGTCCTTTCTGCACCTTGGCACTCAAGGGCAGGACTTCTTTCATGAACTTTGTCTAAGCCTTCCACTCCCCCCTGCAACAGGGGACGATGGGGAAAAAGGGAGGGGGAAAGGGGAGAAAAGGTGGAAAAAGGGGGTGAGAGCCCTTCAACTGAGCAGTTGAGGGGGTGGGACCCCCCAAAGCGAAGCACGGAGGGAGCTGCGGTTTGGCAGGATGATCGGAAAGGGGTGGGAGAGAAGGGAGAAGGGCTGGGATCCCCAAAACTGAGTGGGAGGGCAGTTGGGATGCCCAGACTAAGTGGGAGGGGCTGGGACCTCCCAGCTGAGCATGGGGTGTCTGGGGATCGGGGGGATGTTGGGAAAGAGGAGGGAGAGGGGGGAAGAAAGAGGGGGGACAGAAGGTAGAGGGGTCCCTTTGTGTCCCTCATCACATGAGGCTTGGAATGATTCCCTGGAGTTCGGGGGGGAGGGGGGGGGCAGATCCGCACTGGGGTGTCCCTGTCTATCGCTGGGGGTCTGATGGGGTGTTCCCCCCCACCCAACAGCCAGTGCTGAGGTGGCTGTGGGGCAGAGGGGGGTGGGAAAGGGGGATCTGGAGTGGCCCCCTGAGCATCCTGCCCAGTGCTGCAGGAACAGTGACACCAGCGAGGGCTGGCAAGCTTTGGGAAAGCTCCGACCTGTAGGAGCTGTCAGGGCTCCGGGGCACAGCCCAGGGGGGCCCAACAGAGAAACGGGGCTGGTCCCCAAGTGCAACTTGGGTGGGAACAAATGGTTTCCATCTGTCCCACTGAGAATTGGCACTGGGGAACAAACTGTCATCGCTCCGAGCAGCTACACTTTGCAGTGGCTGCTAAGTTTTTGGCACTACCAGGCACAGCTGGGAATGTGGGAGGGGATCTCCTTCCAGCTGAGATCCGGCAGCTTCGCAGCAGCCACCAGCACCACCCAGATCACCCAGAGGTGCTGGGAATGTGAAGGGATTGAGGACAAGCAGTGGATGAAGTACCTGGGACACAACTGCAGTTTTCACTATTATCTTGTTTATTTCCATGGGTGATTGCTTTGTCTGTGTGTGGGAGACCTGGAAGGTTGCCAAGTTGCTATAACTTCTCTACAATCTCTTCTGTGGGTTACCCCTGCGTTAGACACCAACAGTGGAATAATGTATGGTTTCCAGGATAAAGGACAGCCTTCTAATAATTTGTTCCACATTACTGGGATTAAAGGTGGTTGCATGTAAAGTTCGGGGCTCTGCAGTTCAATAGCTAATTTCATCGCTTCTCCTTTCAATATCCTGATTGCTTAAGAGTTATCCAGGATGAATCTCCATCCTGCCATGATCCATCATTAGTAAAATGGTCACTAAGACCTTCAGCAATGACTGAAACTAAAGTCTTACTAGCTCTCGGTGTTTGTTTTAAATGCCGAAGAGCATTTTGTACATATACATGATTAGTTAATCCTAAAAACTTCATGGCATCAACATCATCTGCTATCACAGAGTTCACCCCCTGCTCCATCAATCAAACCATCCACATTTGTGCTCATTCCCCAGGTTGTTGGGAATATTTAGACAAAAGATTTTTCATATCTTCTGGGGAGAAATCAACAACCTCATCCTGTGTCACTCGGTTACCCTGACTATCCACCACTGCCTTCCGCAATACAACAGGGGCTGCCCTTGCTTCCTGTGTCAACTCATCTGTTGTCGATGGCTTCCCTGTATTTTCTATAGAATTGTCCTCATCAGAATCATCACTACTACTCCATATGTTACCATCCCATTTCTCTGGGTCCCAGTCAGGGGAAGTGAGTACAGCACGCACCCATGGCCCCCGATCACTTCGTTCTATTTTTTTTTTGCCTATGCCGAATAGTTCTTAGGCATACTTTTCAGCTAAACTAACACATTCATCTTCTACCCTGTTCTTTTCAGTTTGAAGGTCAAGTAAAGCCTGGCATTGTACCAACTGAGTGGCTCTCACAGCACTCAACTGCTCCTGCAATTTGTTGTTCTTTTCTAATTCTTTTTGCAGTTAACTTATATGCAGTAAGCAGCGCACCCCCCCATACGTCTGGCATGTTCCAGACAACTGCTTGATTGAGTAGTAGGAATTTGTGTGAACTACTTCCAATATTGCAATACCTCCGTTGGGGTCTACTGTCCCCAATATCCAGGGGACATCTCTGTACATGTTTCCCATTTATTCCATAAGGTATTCCATGGTTCCTGCCCCCATTCTACTAATTGACAGGGAAGAGCAGTGGTTTCCTTGGGTTCTTTGCCGCCTGCGGCTGACCCTCCTAACCACTTCTTCATCTTAATCTACCAAACGTTCTCACTAACAGGTACAGTTTCAAGCTAAACACAACACCTATATACAAATCCCCAAAATGTTGCTCTCACACCACAAATGAATCTGACCTCACATACACATCCAATCTAGGATCTATGTATATACCAACCACCAAACACACACTCTATAATAGCTCCAAATGAGTCCTCAAAAAGACATATTTATGAGTAAAATAGCAACAAAACCTAACCCACCGAGTATCTGCTATGCTTTGATTAGCTCTACAACAAATACAATAGAAATTTAGAGTCCAATCTAACCTTATCTCCTGAATGCCTCCAAGTCCTAGGATATATTTTGTGCAGTTATTACACAGAGCTTGTACATATAATGAACAACTACAAAAGGGACAGATCTTCATTCTAGATCTAAAGCAGTATGATATATATACACAATTAATTGCTCAGAACAACCTCCCATATAAATAAAACCAAACAAAACATATGAAACACAAACACCGGCACACCTGGTGCCTACACAAACACACAGGGTCAACTGAACCCTGTGTTTCACTCAACACACCGGGCCGTAGCTTCACAGACTGTGCTCCCCACCTGAGAATCTCCCTCCTCACACAGTTCATTTGGAGACACAACTCTACAGGCTGTGCACTCCACCTGAAGATCCCCCCACCACTTTTGCAGGGATACAGCTTCATTGGCTGAGCACCCCACCAACGAATTTCCCCACAAAATACAGCTTTATTCTGCCATGTATCCTGCCGACTACGTCAATTTTCTGTACCAGATCGTTAGGATACGTGTCCATAACAAAGACAAGTACAACAGTGATTCAAACACTAACAAAACATCTTTTATTGCAGTGAGAATAAAAAAAAAACTACTAGTAAAGACAATCAAAAGCTAAAAAAAGAATACAAAAATACTACTTTATCAGTTGACCTTCACACAATAATATGAATAGCCTTTATTACAATATTAGCTAGTGAAAAGTGAATTAAAGGGATACAAAAAAAAAGGATATAAAACGTTTGCTTTCCCGGTTGCTTCCTACCAATAAACTGTGCTTACCTACACAGACAGACCAGGCCTACCAGGGTCTGCAGGGCTGGTCAGTGCCCATGCTTAGCAGGTGTCGCTGCGGAATTGCACAGTCTGGATGGAAGGATGAGAATTGCTCCACCCAGCAGTGCCGACACCCCATTTATCAGCTCTACATTACACTATGTTGCAATGCGGGAAGTCAGGGACGCTCAATATGAGTGTCAAGCAAGCTCCGTTTATTGATTATACATTACAGCTTATAGAGGATACATAATGAGATAATTAATATTCTGTAACCTAGCTCTACGATTGGTAACAGCCTTAAGAGTCAGATCCACCCTCAATCCTTGTTTATGGAAGTTCTCAGTTCCTTCTTTTCCCACAGTCTGGTGCCTCAGCAAGATAACCGCAAGATCTTGTTATTGCATAACGTTTATTGCCATGGCCAGCGTGACCTTGCTTGCACAGTAATCACACCAGCTGTGTTCTAACTCTGCCAAGTTCATGCTCGCTCAGTTCTTATGGGTCTACGTGCTTTGTCACATAGCCAACTCCCCACAACACTGCATAGGGCCAGGATGCAGGATAAGGTGGTGCTTGAGTGGCAGCCAAATAGCACCCATTCATCACCTCATGGCAACAGTCTGTGCGTGCTCCACTGTAGGGCAAGGGGAGAACGACCCCTGCCCACGTCATCCTACTCTCTCCATCACCTTCCTCACCCCTATGGACAACCTCTACCATTGTGTTCCAAGGGGATTTGTATCTGTCTTGCAGAGTGGAGCTAAGCCAAGGAGAAACTCAACTATGATAATAAGGAACATCCAGTTAACTTTGCTAAAGACACAATGGACCTTACATTAGCTTGTGCAATAGTTACATTGTACAATACTCTGGCTGGTTTCCATCCTAATATAATCACTTTCTCACCCCTCTTTGCTCCACTGATCATCTAAATCAAAAGTATTCCCCTTACGCACCTCGAAAGAAAGAACAAAAAGACACAGAATTACCTGTGACAAAAAGTGCCTGTCAGAACTGCAAAGACAGATTCCTCTGTGGGGAAGATTCTCCGCTTGGCCCTGCACACCCTTGTGCTGGGGGGAAAACTCAGCCTTTCTGCTTCCCTCTCCTAAGGGACTTTTCTTAGACATCCCTTTCCCCTATGGCCACATCAAAAGCCCTCCCGGCAATTTCCAAGCCTGTACCTGGCTCTCGTGCCCTCTCTGGCTCAGAGCCCTCAACTTACTTTGCAAGGAGCTGGGCCTTCAATCCACCTTCCAAAAACTGGTCCCTTCAGCTGGCTCAGAGGTTCTTGCAGTTGAATCAGGCCCTGCCCAAGGCCCTCCCATCAGGGGCTGGGCCCTGGAGGCAGGGGGAGATCCCTCCCCTGGCATGGCCATTCTTCCCCAGCCCTGTCTGGCCCAGCTTCCTCCCCCATGTACACTCACCCCTGGCACAGCCTGCACTGGGGCAGCATTTACTTCTTGAGCCCTTCAGAGCTGCCCCCATGGGGACACTTACATTTTCTGGGCCAGCACCAGAGCCAGCCCAGCCAGTCCTGCCCCTCATCCCCAGCCCAGCTCACTGACTCCAATTGCCCCTGGAACCCAAGAGCCAAAGGCGACACCCCCAGAGTGCAGCCCCACCCTCTGCAATGGGGCCCCAGGGGTTCCCTTTGCCAGGCAGCCCCTGCAAACCCTTGTCAGAGAGAAAATGGGGTGACTGAGTCCTGGATGCTTTTAGTAAAGAGCTCAAAACATTCCTTGGATAATGGAGGGAGGTGACTTTTTTATTCTTGACATTCCCAGTTCTCCATCTGGGGACAGGCTGTCCTCTAGGCTCCTGGAGGCCCAGGAGCCTTGGGGCCTGCCCAGCTTTCCTCCTCCCTGGGAGCTCCCAGTCCTCTCCTGACACCCTGTTGGCCCCAGGCCTTGCTGGCTCTGGGCTCACGGCCTGCTGGCACCATCCCACCAGCCTGACCCCCCCCTCCTTGCCCTCTCTCCAGCCGCTCCTGCCTTTTATGGCAAGGCACCATGTAAGGAAAACCCCGGTTATCAGCAATGGCACCTGTGTTGCGGGTGGGAGGGCAGGTGTGTCTGTTCTCTCCAAAGGCAAACTAAACCTGCCCGTTGAACCCAGCTCACCAGTAACTGGGATCCAAACACATTTGCCCCAGGACTGTGCAGCCTGTATGGCAAAGCCTGCACAGACACACTCTGAGCCTGCCCACTGCCAGGGCAATACCTTTGTTAGGATGCAAGCACAGTTTTGACGTGGGCAAACAAGCCCTTTGTGGCTGCTTTCACCTGTATTTGGTCTCCACCCAAAAATCTTTCAAAAGGCGACTTCTAAGGGTTCCGCTGAGGAAATGGGAGCAGCCAAGAGCTGCACCCGTGGGAAGAAAGTGGGACAGTACGAGAGCTCAACCTCTGGGGAGAAAGTGGGAGTCAAGGGCTGCACCAAGGGGAGGTAGATGGGAGAGTGCAAGAAGTTTCCCCATAAGACTCTGGGACGATGAGAAAGACCCAGAGCTATCACAAGGAGACATCAACAGATACCAAGTTTTCCAACGAGCAAGAACTGACCCACAAAGAAGTCAAGAGATACTGTTATAGGTAAAGTGAAACTGAGTTGAAATATAGTAATAAAATTTATTGAAGATTTATAGAAAAGGCAAATAAGCAAAACAGCATGCTGGGCGGCCGGGGAGACCCTTGCTCCACTCACAGTGTGCAAGCGCAGTAAGCAAAAACAGTAACTTTTATTTCTTTATCAGTCATTTGTTGTTCTTCCATTGGATCTGAGTTTGCAGGTCTGGTTCTGGTTGGCTTCCCTGCAGGCCCGTTTCAGTTGCTAGGTGCTTTCTCTTTTTTTTTAAGTCCATGAGGCCTAGTGTGTTTCTCCAGATGTCCCTCTTGGATACTCTGTATCATTCTCATTCTTCATTACTTTATGTGTGTGCTCTGAGACAATAAGCTTTTTAGAAAAGTAAGATACAGAATACTTCTTCAGCAAAGCACAATAATTTGTCTTTTCAGCTTAAGAACTGATTTAATTGGTTAATTAATCAGCTAATTAGTTATTTACTTAGTTATTTAGTTAATTAGTTAATTGGTTAATCATTTAAAAATGACAAATCAGTAATTACTAAGCCATTAATAAGAAAAAAATTACCTAGATAAATACCCAACAATAAAGTAATTAACTAATTAACAAATTAAGTATTTAATTAATTAACTAATTAAGAAATTAACTGATTAGTTACCTAATTAATTCCCTAATTACTGCTCCACATGGCAGCAAATTATCAATTCAGATGACCCACACCCCATTCCTCTCAGTACTAATTAATAACTCATTACTTAGCAATTAATTAGAAATTAATTAACTATTTAACTTTTTCACCTGCCCACAACAAATCCCACCGGTACACAAATACACCAGAATATGACAATTGTGCAACCCTAAGCCTAAGGCCTGACACCTAACCCTAACTCTAACCCCTAACCCTCCCCCTAACCCCTAACCCTTACCCTAAGCCTAACCCTTAACACCAAGCCTAAACCTAAGCCTAAGCCTAACTGTAACCCTAACCTGAACTCTGACCCTAACACAAATTGGTTATTGTGATTTGTAATTTTAACCTGCTCTTCTCATAGTAATTCGTCATTAGGGTTTTCAGGTGCTCTGTGATTGGTCTTGGAGGGTCCAGGCACTGGGGAAGGTCTTTTGGGCTGGGCCAGGTTAGGGCTAGGTTGTGGATTGGTCAGGTTTTGTCATTCAGTTTTTGGGAGGTCATTGGGTGAGGTGGGTTGGTTTTGGAAGGTTATTTGAGGGTCCTGGGTGTTGTTTGGGTTATTATTATGGTGCCTTTTTACATAGTTTCTTTTATTAAAAAAAAAAAAATTAAGTTACTATAATTCCCTAGTTGTCCCCAAAGGAGCAGCATTTCCACGGAGTTGTTTCTGTTGTAGTTCCGGTGTTTGTCAGCGGGTGGAACTGCTGGTCAGTCCTTTCCTTTGCAGTTCTCCTGTTTTGTCAGGGGGTGGCAGTGTTCAAGGTAACGTTTTGGTGCAGTTCTCGGTTTTGATCACTAGTGGGCAGTGCTGCTTTGTGATTTTTCCAGTTGATTTCAGCTGTAACTGTATGCATGTGTGCAAGAGTTGTTTTTGTAACTGGGTATGTTTTTCAGGTGTTTTAGGGTGTTATGTGCATCTCTGGGGGTTATTGAGGTGCTAATGAGGTGTTAACTAATTTGCATATCTGGTTATGTGTGATGCTGATTGGACTGCTAATGAGGTGTTAATTTGGTGGAAAATAATTGCATATTGTCACCATCTGTGGTGCAGAGCCAAGTGGTAATTAATTACATAATTAGTTGTTAAATGTGTAATAATTGGTGGTCCACGTGGAAAACATTACTTAGTTAATTTGAGTGAAAAAAAATAATTACCTGATTACTGGGAAAAAAATAATTAGTTAATTAGGTAAAAAATGTTAATTAGTTAATAGTGGGGAAGGCAAGTAATTATTAATTGGTTAATTAGTGAAAAGGCAATTAATCGAAAAACTAGTTAATTAATTAATTAGTGGGAAAACAGTTAATGGAAAAACTAATTTGTTAATTGGTTAATTTGTGGGGAAAATCTAATTAATTAATTAATTGGTTCGTTTGTAAAAAAACGTAACTAATGTCAGGTACAAATAAGTTAATTGGCTAATTTGTGGGGAAAAAGTAATTAATTAATAGAGAATACTAACTAGTTTATTAGTTAGTTGGTTGATTAGAGGAAAAAATTATTTAATTATTGTAATTAAGTAATTCATTAGTGGTCCCTGGAACAATTAATTACTTAATTAGTCTAACTAATTATATTGTAATTAATTGCTCATTATTTATGAGGTTGGGTTTTAATTGTTTTCTTTTTACTGCTCGGTGTCTGTTTCTGGGAACGTGGGAATTCTTATGGTGTGGGGAAAAAATTACTTCATTAGGTTAATTAAGTAATTTGAAATTAATTAGTAATTAATTAATTAGAAATTAAGTAATTAATTCGTGCTCCAGATGGGAGTTAGACGGCCACTTTCAGCACCACACTCCTGCAAGGGAACAATGGCAATTCCACCCAGGAAAGAAAGCCCTGAGCCCCTGTGCTTGTTTGAAGGTAAACCAGCAGGAGAAGTGAACCCAACGCAAAAGAGATTATAAATCAGAGTTACAATTTAATAAAAGTAATACAATAAATGCAATTATACAGCCAAACAATTGGTTTTTACTCCCAAACCCCAGATGTATAACCCAGTACCCTGGGGCACGAGCAGAGTGGTGTTTGTTGGCCCCTGTACTGAGCCGCACGTGGGCCCCAAGTCCAAAGGAAAAGCAAAACCTGCTGGTGAGTGGTGGTTTCAGCTCTGGTCTTCCTCTGTATCCAACCAGTGGTACCACAAGTCCCAAGATTATACACGCTAAGGTTCAGGTGGGAATGCCCAGCACCTCCCCCAGGGCGGGGAGTTCCTCAGTAGGTGATTGTGAGTCAGTGAGATATTTTTGGAATCCTTGATGGCCCATTAGCAGACATGACGCCTCAGGCTGGGCGTGGAGGTGCTAATGACTCCCCAGAGAGGAGTTGTCACACCTGAGTAATTGGTGTGAGGACAGGAACATCCTCCTATCTCACAGACTCCTTAACCCCCAGCTTACAGCCTGAAGGGTCAGGTGTGCTCTGGGCAGCTGCTCCAAATGGTCTATTGTTAACAGTTGCTGGGAAATGACATGGAGGGTGTACAATACACAGTTTGGGTTACACCCCACAGTGATGAACTGGTCCCAGCTGCTCTAACTAGGACACCCTCCGTCTCTCAAGTGCAGTTGAAGCGCCACTCTCAGCACTACCTGGACAACAAGAGCTTGCTGTGTGCACACCTTTGGTCTGGGAGGAATCTTCGTCCATCTTGAATTTTGGGAGTCAGATGGCCAATATCAGCACCGCGCTCCTGCAAGCCAACAACTGCTGTTTTACCCAGGAAAGAAAGCCCTCAGCCTCTATCTTTCAAGTGCAGTTGGTGCACCACTCTTGGCACTACCTGGGCAGCAGGAGCTTTCTGTGTGGGCACCTGGCTCAGGTGGCACCTTGAGTGGACACAACCCCTGCCGTGGTGTCCTCAGCGTGCTGGAAGGTCTTCTGACATTCCTGGTGGTTCCTCAGCAGGTGTTGGAGCAGGTGCTGAGGCAGCTGCAGCCCCTTTGCACCTCGGAGCAGCCATTCCTCCAGGAACTCTTCCAGCTGAGCCACGATGCTGAGGATTTGCAAGGTCTGGAGGTGAGTGGGAGGATGTATCCTCTCCAAGGCCGTTTTCCAGTCCTCCCTCCAACCTCAGCGGCCACAGCAGGGGGGCTGCTCACCTCTGTCAGGTGCCTGGGCTCTCCTGGACTCTCTAGTGGGGAACAATTAAAAGGAACTCAATTAAGATCTCCAGCAAAATCACGGTGTCTCTGAACATTCGACTCCATTCAAGCATTCAACAGAACTCCAACAAGTGAATAAAGAAATAAAACCAGACCTCAAATTTTCCTCCCCAAGGGAGAGCAGATAAATCATGATTTACATCAGATGGGATATTGGGAAGGAATTGTTCCCTGTGAGGGTGGGGAAACCCTGGCACAGGTTGCCCAAAGAAGCTGTGGCTGCTCCGTCCCTGGAAGTGTCCAAGGCCACGTTGGCACAACTTGGGATAGCGGAAGGTGTTCCTGCCCATGGTAGCAGCTCACAGAACATCTCTGCTCCTGCTCCAGAGAAGGGACCACAGGGTGGGGGCAGTGCCTGTGGGATGCAGGAACTCCCAGAAATGCTCAGCTCCTCACCTTGATCATGTTCCCTCTGTCTGGTGGCTCCTCCTGGCTCTCCCTGCTCCTGGCAAGGTTCCACCGGGGCTGGTGCCTGTTCCCCAGACACTTCTTGGGGCTCTCCTGGAGACCTGCAGGGTGCCTGGGTTAAACATCTCCATCCCCTTCAGCCCCTCCAGCTCCTTGGGAGACTGAAATGTCTCTTTTTATGCCTGATCTGATGCATGAATTGCCCTTTTCCTGATGGATTTTCCCCCTCCTACTCTTTTTCATTGCTCTTTTTTTTTATTTCCTTGGCTGTGCTTCTTATCCCTTTGGTATTTATTTACCGCTTAGCTCTAGCTCTTGAGGGCTGGGGGGTGAAAAATCCCAGGTGATAAGGGCATAAATCAGCAGAAAAACCTGCAAGAGACTAGAAAAACTGTTGCTTATTTTTAATGGTAAATTGCCATAAAAGAATATCCAGGGGAGGTGGGAGTGGCTTCCCCCCCCCTTCCCCCGCCAAAACCTGGCCTTTTAAAATTAAAAGCATTCACCCGGAAATTCACTTTTCAAACATTACCACTTTTTACCACACTGTTTTCACTGGGTGCTTGACTCAAGTGGAAAAGTTAAAAAAAAAACCCTTTAAAATATGCATTTAAAACCCATTATTTCACTCCCTGAAAGAAACCAGTGGAGAAACAGCCAGATTATTTTCTAATTAATTCTAAAAATCAGCATCATTTCACTCTCCCAGAGGTCCTGGGTGAGTCAGGTCAGGTCTCCATCTCTCATAACAGCCGGAAGATCTTTATTTGAGCCACTACCTGCAGGGATTTTACCTTTGGGAAGGATTTGTCAGTGCCCTCCATGCAGAGCAGAGGTGACAGCCAGCCTCACTCGTGACCTCAGCCTTGCTAAAACCATGGAGAAAACTCATGAGCTCCTTCAGAACCTTTTTCCCACTCTTATGCAATGGATGATGAAAATTTCCCCCGACTGGGAAGTGGCAAAACCAGAAGGAAAAGAAAAGGATTTTACAAGCCTGGAAATGTTTGTGTGGAAAGGGGAATTGGAACAGGAGAAAAGACTTAATTATTGGCTCACAATTAATTATAAACAGCTTGAGGTTTGCCATCTAAACTCTCCCATAACACTGAAACGAGGCAATAAATCAGCAGGTGGTGTGTTTTAGAAGCATTTTGCCATAAATAATCCTTTATGAGGGCAGGGAATCAATCCCAAAAATTCAGTGCCACAATAAGCAGCAGAAAAGAAGTTGTACAGAGAGCCTGGGATATTTTAAAACAGGGGTGAGGGAAATTATCAGGCACAGCCTGGGCTCCCATCCATCCAGGATCACCCCACGGAGCAGCTGGGAAGGGGGAGGAAACATCAGGAAAGACCTTGGATGAAGTTCCTGCAGAGCTTCAGTAAAGCCAAGCTTTCCCTGCGGAACAGCCCCAGAGCAGCCAGTTTTGCAGGAAATATTCCAGCAGAAGGCTCTGAAGGTCTCTGGGAGAGACTCTCAGCACTCCCAGCACCGGTGGCTGCCAAGCTCCTGCAGCAGAAGGACACCCTGGTGCTGTTGGCCCCATCCAGAAGAGCTGGAGATGGAGTTTGACTGTGTCCTCTAGCTGAGCAGAGGTCACCTTCTCCTCCAGAGGGAGGGCTGTGATGTTCACCCTCCTGCTTTGCCCCCGGGTTTTCCAGACAGGGGCAGGCAGAGCTCAGCCAGTGCCCAGGAGCCCTGGGACAGGTGCCTCTCTGGGTACAATCTTCTAAAAATTCCCCTAATCTCCCACCAATCTCACTCTGCAGAGGTGGAGGGGGCTGTTATTTAATGTTCTATTCACATCAGTGATGGGCTGAACAGCTCAAACCCAGCCTGGGGCTTCCTGCCTGGCCTGGCCCTCTTCCCACCTCATGGAGCAGAGCAGGGCCTAGCATCAGCAAAGCTCAGCTCATCCTGCCTGTGGCAGCCACCCCAGATTATTTTGATCAAAAAGATGGCACTTTTGGATGATCTATGATGGTGCAGTGATAGGTTTGCAGCCTCCAAGGTGTCCTTCTGCCCGTGCAACGGGTTTCCCAGACAGTGAATTTGCTCCTGGGATTTAATTCCTCTTGTTTTATAGGTATTCAGCACAAAGTACTGAAAGGAAATCACTGCTTTAACGTTTACCAGAAGGGGATGGGACAGCCTGTCTGCCACATGTGCCCCACATCACCTTGTTTTTATTTTAACAAGTTTATCTTCACAAGTGGTCCAGTGGAAGGTGTCCCTTCCCGTGGCAGGGGGTGCAACTGGATGTGTTTCAGGTCTCTTCCAACCCGAACCATCCTGGGATAAAGGGCCTCTTTAACAGGCATCTCCAATACTCTTCCTTTTAATGACTTTGCTCCTGAGAAGACAAACCTGGATGCTTTTCCTTTCTGCTCCAAGTCCTTTGCTCCAAGCCCATCAATCACTCTGCAAGTGGAAACCTCTTTATCCCCGGCACAATCTTTGTGATTTCCTGCTGTTTAAATAAAAGCAATCACCCCTCTCCAGGAAATGGGGCTTGATCACATTATCTTATAAAGCACAGATTGGAGTTGGCTTCCCCACTGCTAATTCCCTAGGCTGACTTGCTGAAAGTGCATTCATTGCCTCTTATCGGGAATTCCTATTTTTAAGCAGAAAAAAGCACTTTTGCCCGTGAAAAGCTGTATTCAGGAATGGAGGAAAGGGATGGAGGAGAGAAATATTTCTTTTAACTATTTGTTTCGCCTGATGTGGCAGGTGAGGCAAAGCATGTGCCCCTCTGTGCCACGCTGAGTGGTCAGAGAATCATGGAATGGTTTGGGTGGGAAGTTCATCTCATCCAGCCCCTGCCATGGGCAGGGACACCTTCCGCTATCCCAAGTTGTTCCAACCTGGTCTTGGACACGTCCAGGGATCCAGGAGCAGCCACAGCTTCTCTGGGCAACCTGTGCTAGGGCCTCACCACCCTCACAGCCAGGAATTTCTTCCCAGTGTCCCACCTAACCCTGCCCTCTGCCAGCTTAAAGCCATTTGGGTACCATTTGGACTATTGAGGTGAGATTTTCCTCCTTTTTTTTTCCAGGACTGCTGTGCTCCCTTGCAAGTACTTGTACCCTGCTAGCACTGCTCATCCTTGTTCCATCCCATGGTCCTGAGGGGCCCTGTTTTCCTGGTGCACGTGGCTGAGGTGTCTTTGCCAAGCGGCACTGGGCAGGAGGAGCTGGAAGGGGTGGTGGGTACACTGAGATGGACTGCACACCCAGAAATGGGATTCACCAGCCCCATTCCCTTTCCTAGGTCCCATCTCTTCCCTGGGTCCCATCCTCTGGCTCAGGGTCTGGACACAAGTGATGAAGGAGGTGCAGAGCTGGAAGGAGCCCAGTGATGACTCTGATGGACTAAACACACCGTGCAAAGTGGTTTCTGACATTCAAGCCTGGCCAAGGTGGCATGGAACTTTCCATTACAGTCCTTTGTTTTGCTGAAGGAAAATGTGACTTCTGGGCAATAAAAAAGTTCCAGAGAAGACAGATCAGTTTCTCTTTTTATCTCCAGAAACACCTGACTGGAATATTTTGAGTCAGATGCAACGATTTCCGTGGAAATTATCCCCTTGGGACAGCACAGCCCCAAATGCAGCTCACTGTGAAATCATTCTGCAAATATTGCTACAAATGCCCCCCTGTCTTCAGGGACAGGTTTGGTGCCTTCTCTTCACAGGGAAAAGTGTCTGAGGAACCTGTGAGAAGCCCTGATTGTGTGAAATATGGACCAGGCTTTACAGAGTGATAAAATCACTGGGTGGTTTGGGGTGGGAGGGATGGAAAACTCACCTTGTTCCACCCTCTACCATGGGCAGGGACACCTTCCACCAGCACAGGTTGCTCCAAGCTCCATCTAACCCGGCCTTGGACACTTCCAGGGATAGGGAGAAATGAGGAAATTATAAGGTTTTCCTGGAGCCTTCTCCAGGCTGAACAACCCCAAGCCTGTCCTGACTGGAGAGGAGCTCCAGCTCTCAGAGCAAGAGAAGAGAAAGCTTGGTGGATTTTTCCAGGAGATAATAGTGGGGTGGGAACTCCGGAACAGGTCAGGAAGACTTCGAGAGCCAGGGAGAAGGGAGGTGACAACAGCTTAAGGGTGATTGTGCTTTGTTAACCAGGCAGTGCCATGTCCCACAGCTCCTCCAAACACAAGCTCAACCGTCCATGTGGCATTACCGAGCCCTGCATAGGGAAGGTGACCAAAAGCTACAACTCTGAGGAACAGCTAAACAAAATTGGGGAATTTGTGGAGCCAAGGGTCACACAGACACTGCCTGACATAAAGCAGAGTTGGCTTTTTCACGTCCTGCCAACCCCAGACCCAGCCCATGGAGGAGAGAGTAACTCATGGCACAAAATCCAGGGAAAACACCTGTGGTGGAGAGTGATTAACAAATTCCCTGCCAGTAAATCCCAAAGGTCATATTTGCAGATCACTCACCTCCTTTTCTTCTTCCCAACAAGGAGGTTTTGGCTTGTCCAAAGAAGGCTTTGATTTCCTGCTCGTAGAGCCTGCCGAGTTTCTGGGCACAGACCTGTAAGGGACAGAAAGGACCAGGGGAAAGCGAAAGGTCCAAATTTTAGCATTTCAGACCTTTTCCTTCAATGCAACATCTGCCACTGAGTGCCAGGCTGTTTCTCCCAAGCACAGAGGTCCAACATGTTGTGGCCAAGTTGGCCAGACACTCTCCCAGAAGGGCCAAATGCTCGTTGGGGCAGGAATTTGGTGAGACCAAGCCCTCACCAGGAATTCACCAGTCGGACCAATCTGTTCCTGGTGGATAAAATATTCGTTTGTTCAGTATTTCAGCCATACTTTGGGGAGGTCACAGAGCAGAGCTGGGTTGCTGTTCCTCAGCCAGGACATGAGGGGGGTGTAGGCCAGCAACTCCTTGTGATGGAGTCCATGGCTTGGTGCAGACAACTTGTCAACAGGCTGCCCAAGAGCAGGGACCTGGGAATTGCCATAAAACAGCATAAACAGCAGAGAGAGTCAAATAAAACAGCCCTGAAAAACTTCCCAATTCTCCTGGAATTTCCAGCTCTGAAAAGTCAGAATTTCTGAATTTCCAGGTTTGAGAAGCAAATTCCAAGCTGAAGCAGGGCAGGCATGACCACTTGGAGCTCGAGTTTGAATCCCATTATCTGGGAACAATTCTAAGCTGGCCCAGCAGTAACATAGGGGATAATCCAGATAAGCACCTTGGGCAGGAGAAGACACAGTAGGAAAGCTCCTTGCGGAAGAACATGCTGGAAATCCTCCCTCAGAGCACTGGGAGGTGGTTGGGGGGGGATGTTGGGATTCCATTGATAGGAGGGATTTGCCAGGGTCTGGAAATGCTGGGACACCACACCACGGACAGAGTCGTGTGGAGCTCAGAAGGTTCAGGGCAGGTCCAAGTGGAGCAGTTTGTCCAGCCAAGGTCTGAAAATCTCCAAGGATGGAAATCCCACAGTTCCCTCCCGGTTTCCAGCCTTGCTTGAAGGAAAACATGGAAGACTTAAGGAAATAACCCTGAGGATTTGGGAGTTGCTCCTTTTCATGAAAGGAAATCCAGGAGAGTCAAATTTTCCTTTCAGGTTTCTGCCCACAGGGATATTGTCCATCACATCAAGTACTGAGGAATAAAAGAGAGGATATTCTGGTATGGAGGTAAAAAAGAGGATATAATGGTATCAAAGGAAAAGGAGAGGATATCAGGGTATTGAGGGAAAAGGAGAGAATATCATGGAACAGAGGGGAAAAAAAGAGAGAATCTCATGGACTGGAGGGAAAGAACAGAGGATCTCATGGCCTGGACAGGATGAGCTGTGGGCTGCAGCCCCACATCACTCACACTCTGGGAAATAGGACAGGAGTAAGTCCTGCCCTAAATACCAGCACCCAAAAGCCAATGAAGGAGGATCTGCTGTAGTCTCGAGTAAATCCAGCCCGGGAGGGAGCTGAAACTCAAAAAACCTAAAATTGCAGAGCATCCCTCAGTCCCACCTCGGCCAAGAACACACACCCAGCCTCACCACCAGGAAAACTCGGAATTTCATGCCAGGAGCACATCCCTGGACACCAGCAGGTTTCCAACAACTCCCACACACTGCTCCAATGAATTATTGTTTTTCCAAGCTTGAGGACAGACAACTGAGCTGCCGCAGAAGACCGCAATGTCTAAATATGCCTTTCCACCACCCTGTCTGAGCTGTAAGAGGTGTTGTACAACCCTGGTACACTGTGCTGCCATATATCCATGTATTTAGAGGAATTGGGGATGTGCTTGGCAGAAGTTTGACTCAACTCTAATGGAAACTGGACCAGGCAGTGTCCCAGCCCAGCAGAAGGTGCCTGCTGTCCATGAATGGCCCAGCTTGGCTGTTCACAGCAGGAATTGGATTCCTCCAGGAATGGAGCCAATTCAGGCTGGGAGAGCTGGGAGGGTTCCCCTGGAGAAGAGAAGTATCCAGGGAGACCTGAGAGCCCCTTGCAGGGCCTAAAGGGACTCCAGGAGAGCTGGAGAGGGACTGGGGACAAGGCATGGAGGGACAGGAAACAGGGAATGGATTCCCACTGCCAGAGGGCAGGGATGGATGGGATATTGGGAAGCAATTGTTCCCTGGGAGGGTGGTGAGGCCCTGGCACAGGTTGGGCAGAGAAGCTGTGGCTGCCCCATCCCTGGAAGTGTCCAAGACCTGGTTGGAACAACCTGATCTGTGGAAGGTGTCCCTGCCTGTGGCAGGGGGTGGAATGAGATGGGCTTTAAGGTCCCTTCCAAGCCAAACTATTCCAGGATTCCAAGATCTCCAGAATAAAGCCCACCCTCCAATCCTGTTTTCCCAGCTCCCAGCTCTGGTTGTCACTGTCAACCTGCCCCGCCGGGTGCCTCCAGGTCTGTGCTGCTGCTAAGCTTCCCAAATCCAAGCCTTCTCTTTCTTTCCTGTTTTTCCCAGGCAGCTCAGTGATCCTGGGAACTGATTCCTGGGAGCATCCCCACCGGCATCAGTGGCTCAGGGCCACCAGCAGAGGCTGGGATGCTGGAATGGTGCAGCGAGTGCAGCACAGGCTGGGGGTGTCCCTGCTCTCCACTTCCCCTGCTGGATGGGGGTGTTCATGCAGTCAGACAAAGCCTCAGCTGCAGCACTGCAGGACCTCACTCCAGCAGGGCTGGAAAGATCTGCCCTGCTCAGGACATCCCAGTGCTCCTTGCTGAGGTCCAGGCGGGTCTAAAAGCAAAGCCAGAAGAGAGCAGGATCAAGGACAACCAGGTTTTCAGCCCCCACGAAAAGGTGCTGGCTTGAAACGGCCAAGTGCTCCCCTCAGCTGCCTCAGTAGGTCCACACTGCTCCATCTCCATCCAACCCAAAGTTTTGCACAGGAAAAACTGCAATGGTGGCCAAGGACACCCTGGCAAACCTCAGCCTGAGTTTCTGAGGGGCTGGAAGCTTTGGGATCACTACTGGCAGCAGGGTGGTGGGGAGGAGAAAGGAAAAGCTCAGGGTGCTGCAGCTCGAGAAATGAGAAGGTCAGTGGCACAGAGGTCACCATAAGCTGTGGAACTGGGGATTAGCTGTGCTGTCCCCGCACAGTTCTTGCATTTATGGTGTGGTATGTTGGTAAATAATTTGCTTTCCCATATTCCAAGAGGTCCTCAGGAGTTTTTCCACTGGCTATGCTGTCCCCTGGGACCTCAGGGGAGAGGTCCTGACCCTCCAGCAGGAGTTGGGATGGGCTGTTGGCACAAAGGCCACAGCTGGTGGCACACACTGAATGGACACATTGCCTTCTAGAGTGGGGAAAGAAGGAAAAGAGAGAGAAAAGGAAAGGGGAAAATCCCATCAGTGGGAAGTAGGAAGAGAATCAGTAGGGTCTTTGGACAAACAGGGTAGCAGGAAGTCCCTGGAGTGCTTTCCCATAAATGTATAGTTTTTTTCAGGAAGAAGTTCTTTACAAAAGAGTGATCAGACACTGGAATGGGCTGCCCAGGGAGGTGGTAGAGTCACCGTCCCTGGAGGAGTTTAAGGACAGACTGAATGTGGCACTCGGAGCCATGGTTTGGGTGACAAGATGGAGTTTGATCAAGGGTTGGACTCGATGATCTCAGAGGTCTTTTCCAACCTCGATGATCCCGTGATTCTGTTTGCCTCAGGACACTCCAAGTCCCTTCTGCCTGCGGGGTTATCAGTGCTGGTGGGAGCAGGTTGGACCCAGGCTGGGTGTGGCAAGTTCTGCCTCTAATTGCTCATTAGTTGCTGCACTTGTGCATTCCCAGGTAATGATTATTGGCTGTTCAATTATTATTTGGCTTTGTCATTCCTAATCCTGCTCAGCAAAAGGACTTTGAGAGACCCCTGTGGTGGTGAGGGGGCTGCACATCCCCTGGACTGGTCTACCTGGAGTCCATCCAGGCCATTTGTCCATCAAGACAACACAGTCCCTCATTTCTAGGCCAGGGAAGCTCTGTCTTTGCAGACAGATCATTGTTTTCAGTGTTTGAGGTCACTGAAATTTGTTTTCTGACAGATCCAAGAGAAATGTCTCCACCAATCCCCATGCCGTGAGGAGCAGGATCTCATCCATCAGCCTGCTCCTGTTGGAGATGATGCCATGCAGCAGGGAGTTTTCCCAGTGGATGTGGTCCATCTGCTGTTTCCCACTTCCCAGGACCTCATCATAGACCTGCAAGGTCTCCTCCACCCTGGCCACTTCTGCCAGGGCCTCGTCGATGGAGCTCCTCAGCTGTGTCACCTGCTGCTCGGAGGAGATGATGGCCTGGGGGATGGAGAACAGAGGGATCCAGGGCTTAGAAGCGACTGATGGACTCAGCTCAGAGTAAAATCAGAGAACCTGGAATGGTTTGGGCTGGAAGGACCTCAAAGCTCATCTCATTCCACCTTCTGCCATGGGCAAGGACACCTTTTGCTATCCCAGGTTGCTCCAGCCTGGCCATGGACACTTCCAGGGCTGGGGCAGCCACAACTGCTCTGGGCAACCTGTGGCAGGGCCTCCTTGTAAGGAAACACCCCAGCTTTGAGGGGGTGTCTCCAGCACTTCTCTGCATCCCATGGCCATGCCAAGGGCCTGTCTCAGCCCATTTAGCACAGCTCAGGGCACTGCCAGGGTGCCTCCCAGCTGCTCTGGCAGTGCAATTAATAACGATTAAATCACGCCCGAGACATGCCCTGAAGGCACAGTTTGCCTAAGGAGGGCTCAGGAGCTTGGGATGGATACTTGTTTGGATGGCTGGTGGAGATCAGCAGCGTGTTAATCAGTGCTGACAAGCTCTGCTAGAGATTCCACACTTCCAAATGTTAATTGTATCATTTGCAGGGCCTGCATCCTAGGAAAGAAAACAATCAATAGGCACGGGCCTGGCAGGCCTGAGCTTTCCAGGCTGCTGCGTTTCTCTCCATTAATAAAGCTTTTAAAGACGTTTGTTTGCTCCGATAATTCAATTTTTTGATGTCTTTTTCTTTAAATGAAGAAGAACATCAGAAGCAGCTGCACCCCCAACCTGGCCCATGCTCAGCTCACAGAGGGAAGGAAGAGAAGCAAAGAAGAACAAAGAGCAGCATCTTGACAAACCAGGAGGGGTTGTTGTGGCTTGGACAGACAATCCTGTGCTCTGGATTAGGGATGTGTCTGGAAGCACAATCCATGCTGGGCATATCCAATCCTTGTGTTAAGAACTCTTTTCAAGCTCCACCTGCACTGCTGGTCAGGATGAAGATGAGCTGGAAGCTCCAGCTCTAGAAAAAGGCTTTGGGTTGGAGGGACATTAAAGCCCATCCAGTCCTGCCCCCTGCCATGGGCAGGGACACCTTCTACTAGCCCAGGTTTCTCCAAGCCCTGTCCAGCTTGGCCTTGGACACTTTCAGGGATAGGGAACATTCTCTGAGTAACCTGTGCCAGGGCCTCCCCACCCTCACAGCCAGGAATTCCTTCCCAATCTCCCATCTTTTCCTGTCTTCTGGCACTGGGAAGCCATTCCCTGTGTCCTGTCCCTCCATGCCTTGTCCCCAGTCCCTCTCCAGCTCTCCTGGAGCCCCTTTAGGCCCTGCAAGGGGCTCTCAGGTCTCCCTGGAGCCTTCTCTTCTCCAGGTGACCCCCCCAGCTGTCCCAGCCTGTCCAGTGCACAGAACTCAGCTCCAATAGCACCAAGGATGCTCAGCTAAACATTCCCAACCTGCCTCCCCAGTCTGGCCCCACTCCTGGGCTGCTGCTTTCCAGCAGATCCCAGGACCTCCAGCTCTGTCCAGAACTTCAGATTGTATTAAATGTTCTTAAATCAGAGCCATAACCCCCTCCCCCTAGACCTGTCCCTGCCCTGCCTTCAGATGGTCCTATTAGGAGCATTAGGATTCACGGCCCCATGGTGGGGGTGCCCTGAGTGAAGCATCACCAGTGTCACCGACAGGGCAGGGCTGGTGGAAGGGGCTCTCCAGAGGATCCCTGCTCCTGGAAAAGTAATATACTCCAGCTGCAGAGCTGCTGGGAGCTGCCTGTGGTTCCCCAGGTGCCAGGATCCTGAAATTACACAGGAATACCAATGTACAAATCAGTGCCATCCTTCCCCCTGGAGCAGAGAAGAAGTCTCTTGCTGTTGCTGTGGTGAGTTTTGAGAGCCCCAGATGAGGTGGGTGATTTATATAGTGAGAGGAGGCCAAGGTGTCATCACTGGGATGTGGGGGAAAGCATTTAAATAGATGCATGTGCCAGTCCAACTTGATGGTATTAATAACACTTAATATTGCAGATTAGGCTCAGAAATAGAAACGTCTCACTGATTAATTTCTATTAGAGATAAATCACATTTTTTTCATTAGGAGGCATTAAAATAATGTATTCAACAGCTGCTTTCATCTCAAATAGCTTAATAGAGATGTATTGGCTGCTCTCACAGGGTATTTTACTGGGAAACAAAGTGCCTGTAGGACTTGCCAGGTGCTGGTAGAAACAGACCTCAGGAGTTTGGTCTTCCAGATTAACTGCTAAGTTCCCAACTGTAATAAGTCACATATTGGGAATACAGCAAACACTGGAGTTAAAGGAGGTTGGATTTAGGGCTTGTGGTTTCTTGTGTGCTTTAGGATATTTCCTTTGGCTTATTTTTTTTTCCTCTCTTCTCTTTGGTTCCCTCCCCATAAAATGCCAGCACCAGGTATTTTAGCATAAGATAAATGCTTGAAGCAGCTTTCTTTTTTCTTTTTTTTTTTTTTTCCTCCAGCACTCAAAAGAATTTTGCAGAAACGCAGTAAAACATATATGGAGTCAATAAAGCCTACTAGTCATAGAATTCCAGAATGGTTTGCGTTGGGAGGACCTTAAAGCTCATTTCATTCTACCCCCTGCCATGGGCAGGGACACCTTCCACTATCCCGGGCTGGAGCAACTTGGGATAGTGGAAGGCATCCCTGCCCATGGCAGGGGGTTGGAACTCCATGGTCCTTAAGATGCCTTCCAACCCTAGTCCCTCTGTGATTCTATGAAATACACAGATAATCATGTATTGTGAAGTAAAATATATTTTTATATCTGCACATATCTTTATTTCTTGGAGGGGAGACGTCATCAGGCAGCCACTCACCCCTTTCCTGGCATCACCAACACTTTACTCCCCTCCCCAGCCCAGGGTGCAGAGAGGATCTCTGTAAATAAGACGAATTGTCTATTTTTCTTCCCAGCCTGCACTGTGTCACCATGGCCACCGGATAAGTCGGGTGCCTGTGTCTCCAAATACCCTAAACACGGATTCTCCTCACTGATTCCCTCTCCCTGGTCCCCCTCTCCCACTATTCATACCCACAATTTGAAGTGGCTTCACCTCTCATTGATGATGCAAAAAGCCACTGTGAGTGTGACAAGGGAATGATTCACCTTCCAGTGCACACAAAGGTGACAGCTCTGCCCAGGAACCGGTGGCTCAGCTTCCACAAGCACCTGAGAAATGTTTCCTTCTCCTCAGTGCTGCTGGTGTTCCACTTGTACACCTTGTCAAACTGCAGGTCAGAGTCCACCAGCAGTTAGACACCACTGGCCACACCAGGGATACCCAGCACAGGTTTGCAGCACCTTTGAGAGGCACTTGGCAAATTATCATAAGAGCTCTGAGACTGAAGGGTGAACAGCAGTTCTGGCCACAGGAATGGACGTGGGGACACCCAGAGTGGCTCAGCCTGAGCAGTCAGCCAGTCCTGACCCATCACACTCATTTAATTTTGGATTATATTAAGTCCTTCACCTTCCACTGTGGTTTTGGGGGATGGATGATGAGTTTTGACAGTGGCCAGTGGCAGATGTTTGGGATAAAAAGCATTCAAAGGGTGCCTTCAGGATTCCCTGGCAGCCTCCAGCAGCCCGTGATCCAGCAGCTCACTGAGCTGGAGGTTGGATCTACAGCCCTGTGTTTAACAGCCCTTGAAGGACTTGCTGTCCCTGGTTTCCTCTGATGGTTTTTGGAATTTATGCAGTGTTGGCACCTCCAGCATCCTCTGGCAATGAGCTCTGTGGTGCAATGATGTGCTGAGTGAGGCAGTGTGATCAGCTGGAGTTGAGAATTTGAGGTGAGTCCAAAACTCACCCAGCCCTCACTGCAGATATTCTCTCTGAAATCCTCAAAATCTCAAGCCTCTCTTCACTCCGAGGTTGGGAACACCCAGAGAAAGGCCAGGACCAGGTTTTCACAAGCTCAAATCCCTGTGGCAGCAGTGTGGTGTCACTTGTGCTTCACCTGGCATCACCCTGCAGGGAAGGTCACCTGAGATAACAGGAGCATGGATGGGGGGAAAAAAAGCACGAGTGGCATTTCCCAAGTTGTTTTCATCCCTCTAAAAAGCTCATCTCATCCCTCCCTTGCTGTGGGCAGGGACACTTTCCACTAGCCCAGGTTGCTCCAACCTGGCCTTGGACATTTCCAGGGATGGGACAGCACAGCTTCTCTGGGCAACCTGTGCCAGGGCCTGCCCACCCTCACAGGGAAGTGAAGTCTGAAAACAACATGTTCCTTCTCTGTTGTTTTTTTCTACCAGTTTGTCTTTTACTTTTTAATCTCCTTCCAGCTCTATTTCATTTTTCTCCTGTTTTCTATCTCTCCAGACTGCTACTTTTCCTTCTGCAGGGCTTATTTTTGGCCCAGCTGAAATCTCAAGCCTCTCTTCACTCCGAGGTTGGGAACACCCAGAGAAAGGCCAGGACCAGGTTTTCACAAGCTCAAATCCCTGTGGCAGCAGTGTTGTGTCACTCATGCTTCGCCTGCCATCACCCTTCAGGGAAGGTCACCTGAGATAACAGGAGCGTGGACTGGGAGCAAAAAGCATCTGTGGCATTTCCCAAGTTGTTTTCATCCCTAGAAATGTCAATATGTTTACATCTACCTATGCCCAGAGGATTGTCTCATGAAGAGGGGACTCCAGCCACAGGAGACTTGTTTTGTTTTTGGTTTCTTTCCACTAGATAAGTGAAAAAAATGATGGGGTTTGCTGAATTCAGAATATCCCACAGCAGGAAATTCCTTCCTGCACCATCCCATGAGCTCTGCAGCACAGCCTGATCCTTCTGGAGAACTTAGAGGCCTTAAACTTATGATTATTGACACTGAGCATCATCACAGACAGGGAGTTTCTGAGTCCTACAACATTATGGGTTGTTTCCAAGACACCTTGAATTAATCCATCAAACGCCCACATTGCTTCAGAGGGATGGAGCAGAGCAGGGATGTCTGGGGGAGGAACTGATGGTCCCTCGGTTTATAACAGTGCCTTGTGAGGAGCTGTTAAAGCAGGGAGGCATTAATTAATCACCCCATCAATATTCAGACTGGTTTGGGCAGGGCACTGTAGCTTTAGGCACAGCTGCACTTGCAGTGTCAGGGTTTGCAGTGCCAGGGAAACTCCTTTGATTTCAGCTGCTGAGTGGATCCTATTTTAGGAATGAGAGGGAACAGTTCTGGCTTTCCATCTTCAAGAACGACAAGTTCAGCCTGGAAGGGGCTCCAGGGAAGAAAGAAGTCAGGGAATCACAGATTGATAGGATTGTTGGGGTTGGAAGGGACCTTTAAGAGCATCTAAAGGGACCTTAAAGATCATCCCATTCCACCCTGTGGGCAGGGACACCTTCCACCAGCCCAGGTTGCTCCAAGCCCCATCCAGCCTGGCCTTGGACACTTCCAGGGATGGGGCAGACACAGCTTCTCTGGGTAACCTGTGCCAGGGGCTTCCCACCCTCCCCAGGAAGAATTCCTTCCCACTATCCCATTTCAACCTGTTCTCTGTCCCTTTAAAACCAATCCCCCTTGTGCTGTCACCAGAGAAGGGGACTGGGAGATCAGCCCTCAGCCTGCCAAGAGGGAACAATAAAAGGGGAGGTGACTGCAGTCCAAAAATACATCTGCAAGGGCAAAGAGCTCTGTAACCCGAAGGACAGGCAGGACACACCAGGGAGGATGTAGCAGGAATGCAGGATGAGAGGGATCAGGACGTTTTAGCCACCAGGAGAGCCAAGTTCTCTATTTGCCTCCCAGCAGAA